GAGATTTTCATGCCTCAGCCTCTTGAGTAGCTGGCACTACATGTGCTTGCCATCACGCCCAGCTAATTTTTTGTATTTTTAGTAGAGATGGGGTTTCATCATGTTGGCCAAGCTGGTCTTGAACTCCTGACCTCAGGTGATCTGCCTGCCTCAGCCTCCCAAAGTGCTGGGATTACAGCACCGAGCCACTGTGGTGAGCCACCACACCCGACCGAATTGTAAACTTTCTAAGTCCCTGTCTTGATTGGATTTTGACTGGGTGTAAATTAATTTTTCCTGTGTGGTTCAGACAACTTGCCCCACTGTCAGCTCGTGTCTGAGACGCTGATGTGCGGCTTAACATCAGCATGATCACCATTCATGAAAACGTTGTTTGTTCTTTTCCTAGGGCTTTCGGTGCTTTCTCTTTAATTCTGAGGTTCTGAAATTTTATGAGGTTCTGGCTCTTTGTGGGTCTTTTCATTTATCCTGTAAGCAGTTGATAGGCATTTTCAGTCTGAAACTTCGTCTCATCTGCCCTGGGAATTTCTCTTCTATTATTTCCTCTCTGTGGTCTCTGTCCTCTTGTTCTGAAGTGCGTCTGCAATAATTCACTGTGTATACAATTTGAATTTTCTTATTTCATCAGTTTTTTTTAACTTTCTTAAATTCCTGATCTCAGACTGTTCTTTTTTTTTGAAGCAGACTCTCAGCTCTCCCGAAGCATTACATTAAAATTCTTTCGAGGTCTCTTCTTTTCTAGAATCATCCTTGCTGTCTCCAGGGTCACCTTTGCTGTCCTGCTTGTGGGTGACGTTGGTTTTCTTCAAGTGTCTGGCAGTCCTTGTTGGGCCATTGGCGTTTCTGAAGGTGATTGTCCAGTAAGAGGCAGGTTTTAGCAGCAGCCTTTCTCCCTGAGTGACACCAATGCCGCAGACCCTTTTATAGCGGTAGGGTATGTGGACGAGCAGGTTTCATTTTAGGGTTCAAGACTGGGAAGGGGTGAACGGGATGCCTCACGTAAATGCCAGGGGAGCAAGGCCTGGCTCTGGGGGTCAGCCTCAGATCTACCTCCTCAGGCAGATCACTGCTTGCTTTTTTTTTTTTTTTTGAGAGACAGTCTTTTTTTTTGAATACATATTTTATTGTGTTTTAGATTTTGGGGTACATGTGAAGAACGTGCAAGATTGTTGCATAGGTACACACATGGCAGTGTGATTTGCTGCCTTCCTCCCCATCACCTGTATCTGGCATTTCTCCCCATGCTATCTCTCCCCAACTCCCCACCCCCTGCTGTCCCTCCACTAGTTCCCCCCAACAGACCCCAGTGTGTGATGCTCCCCTCCCTGTGTCCATGTGTTCTCATTGTTCAACACCCACCTGTGAGTGAGGACGTGCTGTTTGATTTTCTGTTCTTGTGTCAGTTTGCTGAGAATGATGGTTTCCAGGTTCATCCATGTCCCTACAAAGGACACGAACTCATCGTTTTTGATGGCTGCATAGTATTCCATGGTGTATATGTGCCACATTTTCCCTGTCCAGTCTATCATCGATGGGCATTTGGGTTGATTCTAGGTCTTTGCTATTGTAAAGTGTGCTGCAATGGACATTCGTGTGCATGTGTCCTTATGGTAGAACGATTTATAATCCTTTGGATATATACCCAGTAATGGGATTGCTGGGTCAAATGGAATTTCTATCTCTAGGTCCTTGAGGAATGGCCACACTGTCTTCCACAATGGTTGAACTAATTTACACTCCCACCAAAAGTGTAAAAGTGTTCCTATTTCTCCACATCCTCTCCAGCATCTGTTGGAGAGACAAAGTCTTGCTCTGTCGCCCAGGCTGGAGTGCAGTGGTACAATCACAGCTCACCGCAACCTTTGCCTGCTGGGTTCCAGCGATTCTCCTGCCTCAGCCTCCCGAGTAGCTGGGACTACAGGCATGTGCCACTATGCCTGGCTAATTTTGCATTTTTAGTAGAGATGGAATTTTCACCATGCTGGCCAGGAGGGTCTCCAGCTCCTGACCTCCAGTGATCCAGCCGCCTCAGCCTCCCAAAGTGTTGGATTCCATGTGTGAGCCACTGCGCCCGGCCTGCTTGCTTTTAAGAGGATCTTTTTCTAGGGAAACCCAACAAGCTGATGCAAGTGAAGGGCTTTAATCAGTCACCTCCGGCCCACCCCGTCTCCAGTGCAGATCATAGCACTGCCGACAGGGCTGCACGCTGCGGGCCTCGGTGCTGCTTCCTCCACCCAGCTTGCATGCTTTCAGCCTGGCTTCCCTCTGCCCAGTCACACCCGTGAACATGGATGAATTCATTCCTGCCCTCCAGGAATCTGCCAGAGTTTCTGGGCCGATGACAGTCTTCCCCTGATATATCAGCCCCAAAACTGGCAGATCCCTGGAGGGGAAATACATATCTATACATATATATAAGTATATACACACATGGGTATATATATGTGTATGTGTCTGTGTGTATATGTGTGTATATATATGTATATACATATCTATACATATATATAATTTTTTTTTTTTTTTTTTTCCATTGATTCTCTCTCTGTCACCCATGCTGGAGTGCAGTGGCCAGATCTCTGCTTACTGCAATCTCCACCTCCCGGGTTCAAGCAATTCTCCTGCCTCAGCCTCCCAAGTAGCTAGGATTACAGGTGTGCACCACCACGCTGGGCTAATCTTTGTGTTTTCTGGTAGAGATGAGGTTTCGCCATGTTGGCCAGGCTGATCTCAAACTCCTGACCTCAAGTGATCCACCTGCCTTGGCCTCCCAAAGTGCTGGGATTACAGGCGTGAGCCACTGTGCCTAGCTATAAATATAATTAAACAAATACAGTTTATACTTAAATATAATAAACAACCATGTTTATGCATTTATTCCATTTTGTTCGTCTGTATCATGATCGTAACGGAATTTTAGGACAGAGGAGTGTGTTCAGTTTTCCCACTTTAAATATTTTCTAGAGTTAGTGGTATATTATAAAGATTTTCCGATGTCGTTAAAATTTTCGTAAGCGTCACTGATCCACAACATACTCTGATATGAATGGACTTTGCTTATTGATTCCTGTATTTTTAGCTTTTTTTTTTTTCTTGTTTTCATCTTTCTTCTTCTTCGTTTTTTTTTCACTTTAAATACAATACAATGCCTTTTCTTGGTACACAAATCTTTGACTACATCTCTGGACAGACTTAAAATAAAACAGAGTTAAGGGGTCAAAGGGCCAGAACCATTTTTTTTTTTTCAGATTTGTGATGCCAAATGGCCGAATTGCTTTCTCTGAACTGTTGTTCGAACTGCTATGAAGTATCAGCCCCAGTACATTCTCACCAGCATGTTAAAAGCAACTTGAAACAAAAACCTTCCTGCATTGAAAAGGCAATAACAAGGTCAGGCATGGTGGCTCAGTCCTGTAATTCCGGCACTTCCGGAGGTCGAGGCAGGAGGATCCCTTGAACCCAGGAGTTTGGGACCAGTTTGGGTAACACAGCAAGACCTCAGCCTCTCTCTCTTTTTCTTTTTCAAGGTAGATAATAGCATCTCTGAAAACATTGCATTTCTTTGGTTACTTGTGAGATCAAGCATTGTTTGTGCATACTTTATTAATTTTGGTCTTTCCAGTTTTGTGAATTGTCTGATCGCACAGTCTCTGCGTTCCCTGTTTGCCTGTTACCTTTACTTATGCTATTTATAATGTTTAGAAGTTTATACTTTTACACTGGCAAGGCAATTCATCTTTTCCTTGTAATTTCTTTGGTTTTACTTAAACTCTGAATGTCTCTTAACTATGAAAGATGAGTTAAATATCTATATGTATTTCACTCTAGGCTTTTTATTTTTATTTGTTTAGTTTTCTCCTTTTAAATGGCCTCTTATTTTGTTCATGTCTTACAGCATTAAGTAGAATTTCTAGGGCAATGTTGTGTAATAGTGGAGGTAATGGGCCTCTTGCATTTTTCGTGTGTTTTATGGTAATGTCTTTAAAATGATTTTCAAAGGGGAGCGCAAATAAGGTATTCTTTCAGGGCATAAGAAGAAAAGGAGGAAATTATCCTTTACTGATTATCTACCGTAGAGAATGATCCTGCCGCCTTCAATTGCCCATGTGCGCTCTGGCCTGGTGTGAAGTGTTTAAGAAAAGGAGAGCATCTCACACTGAAGTGGCTCCTTCCAGTGACTTGTGACACTGGTGCCTGGCTAGGGGGACTGTATGAGTCTGTTTTCAAGCTGCTGATAAAGACATACCCGAGACTGGGCAATTTGCAGAAGAAAGGGGTTTAGTTGGACTTACAGTTCTACGTGGCCGGGGAGGCCTCACAATCATGGTGGAAGGTGAGGAGGAGGAAGTCACGTCTTACGTGGGTGGTGGCAGGCGAAAAGAGACTTTGTGCAGGGAAACACCCCTTTTTTTTTTTTTTTTTTTTTTTTTTTTAAATCATCAGATCTCGAGAGACTCATAGTTCAATCCCTTCCCATCAGGTTCCTCCCATAACACATGGGAATTTAAGATGAGATTTTTGGTGGGGACACAGCCAAACCATATCAGGGATTTACAGATTATATTAATCTGCTTCAACTAGACTAATAGATAATGGGCAAGAGGGTTTACAGAATGTCTACGGAAAAACCCCAGCTTTTGATTATGCTGATCTAGCAGGCCCAAGTGGACCCCAAGACAGTGATCAAGCTGGCATTTTCTTTGCTCCCAAAAGAAGCCCTTTATTAGTTACTCTATGAGTTATAACACTGAGGAGTTCATCAGATTGGACAGAAGTTGGCCAAAACGATTAAAACACTTCCAAAAGACAGTTTAAACTGTAGATCTGTATTCATTGTTGCTGGCCTGCATCTTTGACATGAGTTGGGGGAAATGGCTGCTGGTGGCTTCTGTGCCATGATCAAGTGTGCGTCTTATTTCAGGGCAGAGTTCTTAAAAGAACTGTGTCAGGGCTGGGCATGGTGGCTCATGCCTGTAATCCAAGCACTTTGGAGGCCAAGGCGGGTGGATCACCTGAGGTCGGGAGTTCAAGACCAGCCTCACCAACATGGTGAAACCCCATCTTTTTTTTTTTTTTTTTAAAAGGAATTATCAAATGCAAATAAGAGTCGCACGCTTTCTGTCATAAACAGTCAAGTGATCCACATTTTCTGGTCTTTTCTGGGATGGCGGGATGTTGTTAGCCATACACGCTTAAAGATGATATTTTAACAAAGACTGAGGAAATCACTGCATCTAAAAGGAACCTCATGCCATGGAAAGAACATTTTTGAAAACAGATGTTTTTGGAAATGTTTCAACCATTATGTGATTTTGTAGCTTAAAAAATAAATGATGGTGAGTGCACTATCTACAAACTCTACTCTGTAAAGTTCAAAAATCTGGAAACAACTTTGTCAGCTGTGTAAGAAACTTCCAAATGAAGAGATCAAGGAGTTTCAGACTCATTTGTTAAAAATATGAAAATGTAACTGCTTTCAGTTTGCAAAATCGTTCGTTGATGTTAGGGAAGATGAAACTTTACCAGCCAAATGTCAGCAAAACCTTGGCATGCTTGTCAGAGGGAATTGAAGAATGAATGTTACAATTTTGTAAATACTGCCAGTGACATTTTTTCTTCCATTTGGATCTGTGTGTCTCTGACGGAGGTGTATTTTCGGTTATGGCAGACATGAAAATCAAGTCTGGAAATAAACTCAACTCCAAACCAGATCTTCAAATCACTGTATAACAAAGTGCTAAGTCAAGGTTTTCAGTAAGTGTGAATAATATTAAATCATATCGTTTTCACTAAAAAAAAAATCCAATTTCTCTCTCTTGAGAGCAAAATTATTCATTTAACCAGTGCTTTAAAATTTATTAGTCTGGAGTTGCATGTAGAATTCTCATATTTCAGAATGTTGTCTATTTATGTTTTCTATATTTGTTTTAATAAGCTTGTCAGAATTGTTTATTGCTTTTGTTTTGGAGAACTAGCTCTTTTCAGTTTATCTGTTTTCTAATTCACTGCTTTCATTATTTCCTTTTTTTCTATTTTCTTAATTTATTTTGTTTTTATATTTTAACTAAGAAGTCAGCATTGAGGACTTAATTTTTTTTTCCTCTTTGAGATAAAGAGAACATTTAAATAACAAATGTTTTTTCTGAATGCTCCTTTACATTTATAAGTATTGTTTTTGTTATTTTAAAAAATAAATATTGTTTCCATTTTCGTTACTTTAAAGACAGCCTGTAATTATAACTTTAAACATTGACCTAGGAAATATTGAGGGGAATATATTAACATTTTCAATTTTGGCTTCTATTTTTTTTTTTTTTTTTTTTTTAGACACAGTCTTGCTCTGTCGGCCAGGCTGGGGTGCAGTGGAGCAATCTCAGCTTACTACAACTTCTGCCTCCCATGTTCAAGCAGTTCTCCTGCCTCAGCCTACTGAGTAGCTGGGATTACAGGCAAAAGCCCGTGATCTGCCCACCTCGGCCTCCCAAAATTCTGGGATTTGAGGATGTCTTTAAAGACTACAACAATCTTTAAAAATCTGTTTTTATTTATTGATTACGTTTTAAGAGACAGAGTCTTGCTCTGTTGCCCAGGCTGCAGTGCAGTGGCAAGATCTTGCTCTCTGCAGCCTTGACCTCTTGGGCTGAAACACCCCCCGTACCTCAGTCTCCCAAGTAGCTGAGATTACAGGTGCACACCAGCACACCAGGCTAATTTCTAGATTTTTTGTAGAGATGGGGTTTTGCTGTGTTGCCCAGGCAGGTCTTGAACTCTTGGCCTCAGGTTATCCTCCTGCCTCAGCCTCCCAAAGTGTGGGGATTACGGGTGTGAGCCACTGTGCCCCGCCAGTTTTTCTTTATATTTAAATTATTTTTACTTTACAGTGCTATGATATGGTACATTGAAGTTTATGACTAATATACTATCATTTTGAATTTTACCCTTAAACATAAAATAACCTTCATCATCCTTCACTTGTGCTTCACTGTACTTCAGGGTTTTTTAGTTTGAATTGTTTGAAGTGAGAATATTTCCTCATCGTTTGCTTTGTAAACTTCTCTTCTCATTTTAATTTAAGGGACTCTTTCAGGCAGCGGCAGGAGGTGGAGAGAGTGTTTCTGTGGCTGCTGTGGCCGAATCTTCAGAAGCCATTATTATTCTGAAGGAAACTGAGTCTTATTTTGTTTTTCTTTTGTGGGTATGCTCTGTCGCCCAGGCTGGAGTGCAGTGGCATGGTCTTAGCTCACTGCAGCCTCCGCCTCCCAGGTTCAGGTGATCCTCCTGCCTTAGCCTCCTGAGTAGCTGGGATTACAGGTGTGCACCACGATGCCTGGTTAATTTTTGTATTTTTAGTAGAGATGGGGTTTCGCCATGTTGGCCAGGCTGGCCTCAAACTCCTGACATTGAGTGATCCACCTGCCTTGGCCTTCCAGAGTGCTGGGATTGTAGGTGTGAGCTACTGCTCCCAGCTGGTAACCTGTATTTTCTACCTGGATGCTCAGAGTGTTTCTCCTTACCCTTGAAGTTCAAAAATGTCACCTGGAGATCTGCCTCTGTCATTTTCCTAAGCTAACATGGGTGCTTTTTCTGCTATCAACATAGAAATGCAGAATCAAATAGAAAATATTCAACTTCCCCTTCCACTGGTCATCTGCCTTTCTGCTCTGCCTGGTACGGCTTGATGTTTGCAAACTACGTTTCCAGATTCCCTGGCAATAGGCATCTGACTGATTTGGCCAAAGGGAGACACCAACAGGAAATGAAAAGGTGGGAAAAGAGAGAGGCTGGGGTACTTTTCCCATCTCCGTCCGCTCTTGACAGACGTCTCCAGCAGTGCCCGTCTCTCTTTGTGGTTCTTGCTTTGAATCTTGGGGGAGCAAAGGTTTTCCTCTCTCGTTCTAGTTCCTCTTGGGCAGCCCTACCGTGGTGTGGTGCTGGATGCTTTCAGGAAACTCAACTTTGAGGCTCTGATAAAACCACCCTCTTCCCATGTCCTTCCAGACTAGGGGTGGGAGCACGTGTCTGCCGTTGCCAGTCCCTGTAAAGGGTCTCCGTTTGCACGTTTCTGCCGTTGCCAATTCCCGTGAAGGGTCTCCGTTTGGCTTTTCCACACCTGCAGTAGCTTAGTAGGTAGCTGTTGTAAATCCTCCTGTTGAACTGCTTGATATAGTCTCTGTTTTCCTGGCTAAGCTCTGAGGAATAAAATCCGTTTGAAAAGAGAGGAAGGAAGGGGAAACTCAGAGCCCTGGGAGACCAGCATAGGAGAGCGCACTACTGAGCGACGGGAACCTCCCTGCCCCCGGAAAGCTCTGGTGATGGGGTTTTCATGTTCGTGCAGAGACAAAAGATGTGGTCTTGGACTGGTACAGGCAGGAAATAGGAAATGAGACTCCCATTTCCCAGCCCCCTGGAATTCATGGACTAAATGTTTGTGTTCCCCAAAAGTCATATGTTGAAATTCTATTTTTTCTTTTTCTTTTTTTTGAGACGGAGTCCTGCTCTGTCACACAGGCTGGAGTGCAGTGTAGCGATCTCATCTCACTGTAACCTCTGCCTCCCAGGTTCAAGTGATTCTCTCGCCTCAGCCTCTCGAGTAGCTGGGACTACAGGCATGCACCACCATGGTTAATTTTTGTAGTTTTTAGTAGAGACAGGGTTTTACCATGTTGGCCAGGCTGGTCTCAAACTCCTGACCTCAAGTGCTCCATCCGCCTCGGCCTCCCAAAGTGCTGGGATTACAGGTGTGAGCCACCACGCCTGACGATATGTTGAAATTCTCATCGCCAGTGTGTTGGTATTAGCAGATAGGGCCTTTGAGCAGTAATTAGGTCATGATGGAGTGGCCCAAGCACCTCTCGAAGGCCCTATCTGCTAATGAGCAGGAGGTGGAGGCCTCATCTGCTAATGAGGTGGAATCCTCATGAACGTCCCCTTGTAAGGGAACAAAAAGACCAGAGCTCTCACTGCTGTCCACCTCATGGGGACACAATGAGAAGGCCGCCTGTAGACCAGGAAGAGGGTTTGTATCAAGAATTCAATCAAGCTAGCACCCTGATTTTGGCCTTCCAGGCTTGAGAACCATGAGAAATAAATGTTTGTTGTTTAGGCCACACATTCTATTATATTAGGTTGGCATAAGAGTAATTGTGTTTTTGCCATTAAAAGTAGTGGTTGGTGCAAGAGTAATGGCAGTAACTGCAATTACTGTTGCACAACCTGATAACAACTTGAACAGACAAAGACACCCTCCTCCTGTAAGTGGGAACTAGATTCCGCCTCACCACTGGCCTAGCAAAGTAGCAGCGATGCTTATTTCTTCCCAGAGCAAAGGCTGCAAAAGAGAGAGGCTACAGTAACAATCCAAACTCTAAGCAAGTGTTCCAGGGGATGTGCAGTCCAAATGTACGCTACCTGTGTGGTGCAGGCTTCTAAGTTAAGGAATTAATGTAATGACTGGTTCTCAACTGGTGAGACGCCGTGTGTGATGGATGGGATCTCTATGAACTTGGGCCTCCAAAGGGAAAGGCATCACTTATTGCAAAGGCTTCTGGGGTTCCTCCCCTCGACAAATGACAGGCCACACCGGGAAACAGTTTGCTACTAGGAAGATCAGAGTAACACAAAAAGAGGATTAGTGCCTTCAGAAATGGAGATAAGAGAATGACATTCTGAAGAAAAATATGAAATAAGTCAGTTAGAAATGGTTAAGAGGGCCGGGCGTGGTGGCTCACGCCTGTAATCCCAGCACTTTGGGATGCTAAGGAGGGCAGATCACTTGAGGTCAGGAGTTTGAGACCAGCCTGGCCAATGTGGTGAAATCCTGTCTCTACTAAAAACACAAAAATTAGCCAGGTGTCGTGGTGCATACCTGTAATCCCAGCTACTTCCTGAACTTGGGAGACGGAGGTTACAGTGAGCCCAGATTGCACCACTGCACTCCAGCCTGGGTGACGAAGTGAGACTCTGTCTCTCAAAAAAAAATAATGTTTAAAAGGTAAAAGAAAGTATAAGAATCATAATGAAAGATTTATACTCAGCGAAAAGTAAGAGGTGTGTTTATAAAAGAAAGTAAACTGCTGGAAATGGAAACTAAAGTCATTTAAATGAAAAATTCAGTAGACAGGTTCAACCCAGATTCAGTAAACACTGAAAAAAGAAATAGTAAATTTGCAAATAATTTGAGGAGATTACTTCTAAGATACACAGCAAAGTAAAAATGTGAGCAATTAAAAAAAGAGTTTAAGGAACACGGAAAATACTATAATGTATCAGTCAAGATTCAGTTCAAGAACCAGTAACCCCTCTGGGTATTTTAAGCAGGAAGGGATTTAATAGAAGGGATTTGATGCTTGAATGACTGTTCAAGAGTTGAAGGAGTGGATTGTAGGTGGTGGTCCAGAACGACTTCCAGAATAATTCAAAGTCAGCTCCCCAGGAGAGCTGCTGCCACTGAGGCTGCCACTGCAGTATGTGGTTCCTGCAACATTCCCCTGACTTCCCAGAGTTGGGAGCAGGGTCCCCTAGAGCTGTGATCCGGGGATTCAGAAGCTGTTGCTGCCACCACCGTAGCTGCCTTGTCACAGCCAGGAAGCTGGAGAGTAAACAATGGAATGTTGCTGCACTGCAGGAGAATGTCATGTTTTCGTGTCTTCTCTTCTGTGGAAACAGTGAAAACATGGCAAGAACACAGCCAATGACATGCTGGCACCAGCTCATCCTGGCTTGTGAGAGCCCATTTTTAAATTTTAAGGGATTTTGTGAGGTGATTGTTAAATACTTTTTTTTTTTTTTTTTTTTTTTTGGTGTGGGTTTTTTTTTTTTTTTTTTTTTTTTTTTTTTTTTTTTTTTTTTTGGAGACAGGGTCTCGTTTTGTTACCCAGGCTGGAGTACAGGGGTGTCATCATACTGCAGCCTTGAGCTCCTGCGCTCAAGCCTTCCTCCCACCTCAGCCCCCAGAGTACCCAGGACTACGGGCACACACCACTATGCCCAGCTAATTGTTTTATTTTTTTGTAGAGATGAGGTCTTGCCGTGTTGCCCAGGCTGCTCTAGAACTCCTGGCTCCCACCTTGGCATCCCAAAGTGCTGGGATTATAGGTGTGAGCCACCACACTCAGTCTAGGCATTCATTCTTAAAAATGGAATATAAGCTTACAATGAAATAAATTATATTAGAAATCAAGGTAATCAATGTTCAAAACTCATCGCTAATCATTTTGCTACATTTTACCATTATCTGTGACTCCGTGGTGAATTTAGTCTGTCGTGTCTAAATTAGAGAGACTGCATGGCTGCACGCTGGGACACTGCTGCAAAGCTCTTTCCAAATTCATATTTAGTGGCTTCATGTGGGGAGCTTGGAATAGGCCCTGGTGGGAATATTTACATCATGAAAATGGAAAATGCTACAAGTCGAAAGTGTTTCTTTTTGAGACCCTGTGCTAAACATTTACCAGCATACCACTCCGCCTAAGAGCTTTTGACTACTGGAACTAATTTTTATCACAAATCCTAGTAGCAAGAGAGTCTGGAAGACAGTTATTAGCTTCCCAGCTTCCTCAGTCAGATGAACTATGAATAGGTTTTGGGGGAACCAGGCAAGAGAATCCCACTTGAACCAAGAGGTCCAACGTACACCTAATAAGGGCTTGCAAAAGAATAAAGAGATTTGGGGAGCACCTCTATCTGAAAATATAATGACTTAGAATTGTCCAGAATGAGTATGAGCAGGTTAACAGCAAGTATACCTGTAGATTTCTCATCAGCAACAAAACATTTTCTGAGTGCTAAGGAAATCATTAATTTATAATTCTCTACTAGGTTAACCTTCATAATTCAGATGAAGTTGAAATAAAGACTTTTTAAGACAAAGACTCAGAAAGCTTGCCATTTATAGCCCGTTGTTTACATTTACACTTTTCTTCATTGACAAAGAAACTGGACCTGGAACAGAAGAATAACCTGCAAGAGGCAATGATGACCAGAAAATTGGCAAATTTGTGGAAAAGTTTAGATAAGCGTCGGTTGTAATGCTGAGTAATTTTGGGGGAAACGGGGTTAAAAATAAGACTGAAATTAGACGCTGGACAATAACATAGAAGAATAAAGCAATGCAAAAATTATAAGCAACACAATAGATAAAGGTGAAAAGCACACTCATAGTAGAAGAAATTGAATGACCAAAAACCATATAAAAAGGTGCTTAAGCTAGCAGTCAAGGAAATCCAATTAAAAATGAAACAGTCTGTTAATACCACGTTCTAGCAAGGCTGCTGGGGAAATAGACACACTCCTAGACTAATGGTGGATCTGTAAATTGTCACAGTCACTAAGGTGGTTTTAAAATATATCTAAAAATTATTTGATCCTCCATTTTTCAAAAGGTGGAGCCTAATTCCCTTGCCGCTAAGTGTGGGCTGTGTTTGGTGACTCAGTTCTAATGAATACAGTGTGGCAGGAGTGATGGTGTGTGATTTCCAAGACCAAGTCATAAGAGCTCCTGCACCGTCTCTTGGATCACTTGCCTGGGGTGACCCAACTCCCCTGTCATAAGGAGGAGGAGCCCCGTGGAGAGGCCCACAAGAAAGTGGGACCTTTTGTGAACAGCCACGTGAGTGTGCCATCTTGGAAGTGGATCCTCCAGCCCTGGTCAGGCCTTCTGATGATGGTGGCCCCAGTCCATGTCTCGACTGAAATCAAAGGAGACTTTTTTGAGCAAGAGCCACCCAGCTAAGCAGCTCCTGATTCTGACCCACAGAACCTGTGAGACAATAAATATTTGTTATTTTAAGCCACAAAATTCAGGGGTATAATTTGTTATGTATCAATAAGTAACTAACCCACTTTGGAGTGCAATTTCACTACATCCAATAAAGGTAAAGATCTGCATACTCAACAGCCAGGTCATATTTTACCCAGGTATGCAGTTCAGAGAAATCCCTGCAGATACATACAAATGGACACACGTGGGGATGTTCACTGCGGCACACTTCTCCATCAGTTGTGTAATTTACACCACTGGGTATTCATACAATGGAAACTGTTGGGCAGTTAAAAATTAATTAATGAGGTGTATGTGTGTGGATTTAGATGGATCCCAGAGATCCAATATAGAGTGAACCATGCAGGTTGCAAAAGCATATGGGTGGTGTGATATCATTTATGTAAATTTAAAGATAGACACAGCAGTACTACAATATTTTTTATACAGTTACATCAAAATGTGGACAAATTTAAAAGCATGGACAGGAAAGCTATGTTCCACCTCCAGAACGGAGCTGTCACTGTGGAGGGAGGGAAGTGAAGGAATAGAGTAGGTGGTAAGGGCTTCAGTGTAACATGTTATTTCTTTAAAAAAAAAAATCTAAGCAAAGAAGTCAAAACATCATTAAATCTGGGGTGGTGAGTACATGGGTGCATTATGTCATTTGCTAAAATTTCTGTTTCTTTGAAATATTCCTTATTCCATTAATGCAGATTTTCGCTCTGCCACTGCTTTTGGATTTCCCCTTTGTTTGCAGATGCCTGCGCCTTTTCCAAGGCTGCTGACCTCTCAGCTTGTTGCCTTTTTTGTCTTGATGTCTCTTCTTCTCACGCTGACATTGCTTTATGAGTTTGCATTCCTATTTCATAGCCACCTTGCTGATAACTTGAGGGCATAAAACAGAAGTTTGTAAAATTGTCCTCTCTTGTATTATGACATTGTGAGCAGTAGGGTTTTGCTCTACTTCTTCTTGAAAGTTCTTCCTTCTCTAATGATGCAGGACTTTTACACAGACCCCTCCATTAGTGTTTTTGCTTACTCATTTTGTCTGATTTGAAATCGCTGCAAACCCAGTGTTTGCCAACTGGCATGCCCCTGCAGGATTTTTAACAAGGGAACAAAACTGTTTTATAAGCGCTTAGCCAAATGTCCAGTGTCTAGCTGGCCTTTGTTGACAGCATCTTTGCTGGAGTAAGAGGAGATCTTCTTGTCCCCACCATGTAGCTCTTGGTCTGAGAGGAGGAGATATATATTTCTGGGTTATTTGAGGCCTTCTGCAGTTTTCCCTTACTCAGAAGCAATGCATGAAAAATCCCAGTCTTCCTAGGTTGTTACTCCTGGGTCCCTCTGGCCAACACCTGTGACTTGCAGGTGATTTCCCATCTTCATGTGCAGGTTCTGGGTCTCAGACCTTCCATTCCTTGCCACCTTGCATACTGGGAGTGATGATCCGTGAGTAGCTAGAGGAAGGAAGTTGCTTCACAGTGGTGGGAGGGACGGTGGTGGGATTTGACCCTGGCTGCTTTAACAAAGCAGTCCCAACACAGTCAGAAGGGTGGTTACCTGCTGTCAGGGTTGGCTGTCCCTGCGTCCCTGAAATAGAAGAGCATTTGGGTAGATAAAAATCTCTCCTTATCCCTTTACTATCTGACTGTTTTATTCTGTCTCTGACTTCAAGGCTGCACCACTGATTATTGATTATTGTAATCCTAACTGTACTGATTTTATGAAAGCTTCTTCCATACCCTGGCCCTGGTGTTGCTGAGAATATCATTATTTGGGTGTGCCTTCATGATTGTTTTTATAGGAATTTGGCAAAGTATCAGGGCTGGCTAGGCTCTGTAACTTTTAGCATGCAAGATCAATATTGCCCCTTATGTGTCTAGTCATTGGAGGACGCGGATTGCTGTCAAGTCTGCAAGAGATGCCACGTACATCTCCAGCACTCTACAGAGAGATCAAGAATCAATTGCAGCCTTTCAACTTCTTTCAGAAGTCCATCTAAGACTTTTAAGAAGTCTTAAGCTCTTTGAAAAAGTTTCAGGGACAAGTTAAGATGCGTTTCTCCAAATGTTTTTCTTCCTCTCTCTGTGGTTCGTTACCACAAATCTATACAACATAAATGAAATACTCTAGAGCTGTGCTTTTGAAGCTATTTGCGAGGAAGGACCAGTTTTAATTTTTTTTTTCTTTTTTAGTTTCAGTCTTTTGTAGACTAATACTTTTAAAAAAAATACAGTAAGTGCCGGGCACAGTGGCTCATGCTGTTAATCCCAGCACTTTGGGAGGCCTGGGGGGGGTGGATCATGAGGTCAAGAGATCGAGATCATCCTGACCAACATGGTGAAACCCTATCTCTACTAAAAATGTGGGATAAGACTGATGTCCCAGCTTGGAGACAGTTAAAAGAATGAATTCTTTCTTACTCTGCATGTTCATTCCATGTAGGCGTATTTATTCTGTTCATTATTGGATGAGACCCACCCACACTGGGGAGGAGAACCTGCTTTCCTCTGGCTACCCATTAAAAAGCTAATGTCATCCACACTCACAGACACATCCAGAATCACGTTCAACCAGATATCTGAGCACCCCGTGGCCCAGTCAAGTTGACACGTAAATTGACCATCACAAAAGGGCATCATTTCAAGTTTACAGTAAATGAGTCTTTTCAGTTTATCTATTAAATTAATTTTTTTAGAGACAACTTCTCCCTCTGTTGCCCAGGCTGGAGGGCAGTGGCAAGATCATAGTTCATTGCAGCCTCAAATTTCTGGGCTCAAGTGATCCTCCTGTCTCGGCCCCCTCAGTAGCAGGGACTACAGGCATGCACCACCATGCCTGACTAATTGTTAGAATTTTGCTATAGAGACACAGTCTCGCCATGTTGCCCAGACTGGTCTTTAACTCGTAGCTACAAGTGATCTTCCAGCATCAGCCTCCCAAAATGCTGAGATTACAGGTGTTGGCCACCACAGACGGCCTCTTCAGTATATTACTCTGCCAAGAAATGTACCAGTTCCTTGACCCAATTAACGGGAACCATCCCTTTTGGTTTTAACCTCTCAATATCTTTTCTTTGATATGACCATTTAGCCAGCCTCCCTGCACCCAGGAAATGGGTTATTCTTCAGCTCTGGCACTTTCCATTCAGGTAACCCCCTCTGCCTGACATAGCCAGAGCTTGCTGACACCATTCAGCACTGGAACCCACTGGTGCTTTGCTGCCCACACCGGACCCCTCGGCACGGTGGTTGACATGCCTGCCGGCCTCTCCCGGAGGCTTGCCCTTCGTCAGGTCTTACCGACCTTCCTTTGTAATGCAGCATGTAACCCAGGCATCAGTCGAATTCACCCATGACTTCCTGTAGCCCCTGCACCCTGCTTCATGTAACCCTTAGCCGATAAGGACTGGTGATACTCCTTGAGCAGATGCCTGCTGCTAAGTACAGTGCTTTCCAGGTCTTATCTTTTTAGAGTCAGAGTCTTGCTCTGTCACTCAGGCTGGAGAGCAGTGGTGTGAAAATAACCCACTGAAGTCTCAAATTACTGTGCTCAAGTGATCCCCCCACTTCAGTATCCCGAGTTGCTATGACTACGTGTGTGTGCCACCATGCTCAGCTAAAATTTTTTTTTTGTCTGTGTAGAGACAGGGTCTCGCTCTGTTGCCCAGGCTGGTCTGGAATTCCTGACATCAAGTGATCCTCCTGCCTTGGCCTCCCAAAGTGCTGTAATTACAGATGTGAGCCAGCATGCCTGGCCCTTTATCTTATTTAATATTTACAACAGTACTATTCTATCCAGTATGTATTAAACCCCCAGTTTTACAGAAGAGGAGACAGGCTTGCAGAGGTTAAGTAACTAACTTCGCTGGCTAATATGGGCAGAGGTAGGATTCAAATCTAATGCTATTTTTTGACTAGAAAGTGCTGATTCTTTTAAAATTTATGTTATTTTTATTTATTTTTTTGAGGCAGAGTCTCCTTCTGTCACCCAGGCTGGAGTGCAGTGTCACGACCTTGGCTCACTGCAACCTCTGCCTCTTGTGTTCAAGCAATTGTCTTGCCTCAGCCTTCCAAGTAGCTGGGATTACAGGCACCCACCGCCATACCTGGCTAATTTTTGTATTTTCAGTAGAGACTGTATTTTACCATGTTAGCCAGGGTGGTCTCAAACTCCTGACCTTGGGTGATCCACCTGCCTCAGCCTCCCTAAGTGCTGGTATTACAGGAATGAACCACCGCACCCAGCCAATTCTTAGCCATGAAAGCACTCTGCCCATCTTAGTTCCTTAGACTGGCTAATTTATAAGCAGCAGAAATTCACTGCGTACAGTTCTAGAGGTTGGAAAGTCCAAGATCAAGACACCTATCAATTTTGTGTCTGGCGAGGGCTGTTCTCTGCTTCTAAGGTGCTGCCTTGTTGCTGCGGTTTGCCATGGTGGAAGGCAGAGGGACAAAAGGGCCTTGGGTAGTTCCTGCCACCCTTTTGTAAGGGTATTAATCCCATCCATGAGGGAGGAGCCCTCATGGCCCTAATCAGCTTCTACAGGCCCCATCTCTTAATACTATCACATTAGAGTCTTAGGTTCCAGTGTATGCATTACTGGGGGACACCTTTATTCAGACCATTTCACGGCCTTATGTAAAATACAGAAAGTCTTTTCATGACAGTCACTAATATATTTCATGATGAGTGAAACTGCTGTTGAGATATTTATTTCTTTTTGTTGGTTGCCCTCTATAGTAGGATCCATCTTCAAGCTTTATTTCCAGGAGGTTTGTCTTCGCTATGAACTTGTATATTTCTCTTCCCTTAGCCAAGGAGAGAGTCTCAAAGCTTGGGTTTCCCTAGGCAGCTTGGAGTGAAATTTAGTCCCTAATTGCAGCAGCTGTTTTTAGCTTACTTAGGATAATGTTCCTCCCTTTCTTGAACATGACTTTATATATCTATATGGATGGTTCAATTGCACGTGTTTTCTTTCCCACTAGACTTTGAGCTTTTTGGATGCAGAGACTAAATGAACTGAATGTGTACCTAATTTTGTAAGCTGCCTTTTTTCAGAAGCAAATTATGTTGGTATATCAAGTGGGATTCAGTTGTGACCAGTTTTCTCTGCAAAGCACTCAACATTTATTCTGTGGCTGAACTGGGGCGTGGGTTGGGTGTGCTTGCTTGAGTATAATATCCTTATTATGACTGTAAAATTTTGTGTAGTGAATCCAGAGCTGCAGACAACCAGGTAGAAGGTGACAGCAGGAAGATACTTACAAAATGCTGAGAAACTGTAGAGTGATGCACGGTGGAACGGAAGGAATGCTTTTCGTACCGACCTCAGTGGGTCTTGCTCCAGGTAGCAGATTGGATAAGAACAGAGCAGGTGTCTTTCCATACCGATAAAGACTTAAACATTGGTTAAGATAACAGCTGGTGAGGCTCATCATCTAGCAAGTTAGATAAGATCAGGGCAGGTGTGTTCTCATGATTATGGAAAACATCAGTTAAGATTGTAGCTGGTGGAGCTCACCGGCTGTGGGACCGGTGCCGAGGGAGAGGCACCCATGAAGTGTTATTCAGAGTTGACGTCTCATTTTCTGGACCATAGATGTCTCAGTCTGTTTTGTGTTGCTGTAACAGAATACCTGAGACTGGGTTGTTTATAAAAAGCAAAGATTTCTTCCTTACAGCTCTGCAGGCTGGCAAGTCCAAGGGCAAAGGTACTTTATCTTTCAGGGGCCTTCTTGCTGTGTCATCCTGTAGCAGAAGAGGAACAGAGCGTGAGTATTAGAATGAAGGAGACAGAGAAGGGGAAGGGGCTGAACTCATCCTTTTTGTTGTTGCTGAGACGCTCCTGCTGCCCAGGCTGGAGAGCAATGGTTCAGCTCACTGCAACCTCTGTCTCCTGGGTTCAAGCAAGTCTCCTGCCTCAGTTTCCCTGAGTAGCTGGGATTATAGGCATGCACTACCACGCCTGGCTAATTTTTTGTGTTTTTAGTAGAGATGGAGTTTCACCATGTTGGCCAGGCTGGTCTTGAACTCCTGCCTCAGGTAATGCACCTGCCTCAGCCTCCAAAAGTGCTGGGATTACAGGCGTGAGCCACCACTTATGGCTCAACTCATCCTTTATCAGGATCTCACTCCTGTGACAGGTCCTACGCTGCAGTAACAGCATTAATTCTGTCCTCATGACCTAATCACCTCTTATAGGTCCCAGCTCAACATTGTGACATTGGGGTTAAGTTTCCAACACACAAAATTTGGGGGAGACATTCACTATATGGCAGTGGGTATCAGTCCGTGTTCAAATGACCGTGACACGCAGCCCCAAGGAATCAGGATTGGCTTTAAGGAAAAGATAAGAGGAGCATATATTCATACATGCGATTCTCCCTTTTAAAGCTTTTTGGTCTGACAATTGACTTGGAGAAAAAAGGAGGTGGTCATTGAAGTATTCTTCCAGAGAAAGATTCTTGTGTTCCATTTAAATTTAAGGATAGATTTGGGAACGTCTGACCCTGAACTAGCTGAAGATGGACCCTTATAATTGGCAAATGCACGTACCCTTTGTAATTAGCACCCTCCCATTCGCAATTGTCCTGTGGGTGTGTGTGTTGTTAGCCATGGAGAGAGTTAAGGGCGGGGGTTGGGTGTTGCAAGCTGACAGTTGGCTCTCGTCTCGGCCATGTGTCCGTTTTACTTTTTGGGGTCCTGAGCATTTGGGAGAGTTGTCCCAGTTGTTGTGATGAGCGAAAAGCACCTTTGATAGAAATAGAGAAACCAGGAAGTGTAGCCTACTTTGTAGGAAGATAATGAATTCATTTTTAGACATTTTGAGTTTGAAATGAGGGCTTGACATCCGGGTGGAAATGTCTGGCGCTTGGCTGGGGCTGCTTCATGGAAATAGCATGTAGGAGGCTTGAGTTCTAGAACTGCTTCTGTCACTAACTGGCTTTGTGCTCTGCTGAAACCTGTTAACTCTCAGGGCTTTGGCAGGTCAGAGGCTGCCCAGTTCACCTTCCTGGAGCTCCGACACCGAGGTGTTCTCCACCCACTCTTTGTGATGGACTCCCTGTGCTTCCTGCCTGTTGGCCCTAATTCTGCTCAGGGGTTTATCAATCCTCTTAGTCCCCTTTGCTAGATGAGGAAGCAGAATGTGACGTGTTCAGCGTCTCGTTCAAAGTCACAGAGAGCCTCACTGGACGAGCTGGGCCAGGAGCCGTGCTCTTCCTGCTTCGGAGAGGATCGTCTTCCTCCCTGCCTTTCCTCTTCCATTCTCCTCCATTGTCTTTGCTGCCCTTTCATCTCACATCTCTTTTGCCTTAGCCTGGAGCTTCCAGTCAGCCTTGCGTTAATGGAAACTTCTCAGCCTCACTGGTGACCGCCTGGGTGCGGGAGCTTTGTTATATTGGTCTAAAAGGATGCGTTCACGTTGAGGGTGCTGGAAGCAGCTTCACTGTGGGGCACCTGAAGGCAGCAATCCCCTCTCCAGCGGGGCAGGTGATTAGCATTTTGGAAGGCGTGTGCTCTCGCACCACTCAAGTAAGCAACACCTGCGTCTCAACCAGGCTTGGAGAGCTGCTTCTTGGGATGCAGATCACCGCATGGACTCAGAGCTTGCGCATTTTCTACCTGTTGTAAGTGCGGTGTGACTGCGACGCCTGTATTATCTGG